CACGTGACTTCGATGTCGTAACAGTATCGCCTGTTATGGCTACATTAACAACCACACAGTCTAACTTCACTTGTTTTTTACTTCCTTTACTTAACTTTTGTTGGTTACCACAGTTTTATCCAGAGCTTTAAATTATTGTCTCTTTCTTTCTTTCGTCAAAAGTCCACACAGGCTAGTTCAGTTACTTCAGAACCAAACTGACAAGATAAATTATTTTCCCCATCTCTGTTGTTACAATACAGCTATGAAACACACTAGAAATCACCCGTTAAGGCTAATCACTCACACGGCGGCCAACTTCTCGTTTTCTTCCACTAACTTTTTTCCGACTGAACTTTACTTGACTTACACTCACTTGATCGCCTATATTTATACATTTTTCCAACTGAGGCATAGAACTTTATAGAAACTAGGATACCTATGATGTAACAATACTCACATAGCGAGAAAAACTACAACAACCGAATTACACCCACAACGTGCAACTCTTACCGAGTTACATAACGAAAGCTGTTATAACTATACCCTTTAAAATAATGAACTTTAACACTCTTGTTATCAAAACTACATAATCATTAAATATTAAACCACATAATAAACTAAATAATAACTCTTACACTAAACAGTTTTGTATATCCAACAGTTATTCTTAATGATATGTTTGACTTTTTTTTTTTCCAGGATGATATGTTAAGACAAAAAGAATGCGATTTTTATTCTCTTGTAATAGATCGTAAAAGTGGTTCACGAGATTAAAATTCATGTTAGACTCAGCCTTGGATACAAGAGATTTTTTGGTACTCTTTTATTTGGAAGGAGGGGGAGAACTGAGTCATTTCCTGTGTCGTCATTATCACTACATAACCTGCGAATTATTAGGATCTGGGAGTAAGGGATTGATTGTTTGATGCTATACGGAAGAGAAGAGTCTAATGAAGAGTAAGAATGAAGCTGGGTTTTTATAATAAACATTAGTAGTGATGCGGTTATTTATAAGAGAAAATTCAATATCCAGAAATGGTAGTTTTTCGCTAAAAATTGTGTATGTAAATTAGAGGGCTGAGTTAAAGCTGCTATAATTTTACATACACAATTTCCAGCGAAATATTACCATTTCTGGTTGTGAACATTAAAACATCTCTTTAACGTTTGCCAGTTTTTGTGATCCAAGTTCTCCTTCCTTTGTTTTTACTTGTGTGAATGTACGACTTGAGACAAAAAAATATGCACTTAACAAAGGAAAGAAATTTGGGAAGAGAAACAATGTAATACATGTATTGCATTTTTTAACATACTAAGTAGTGTGGCATCCCCCACCAGTGGGCCCCTCTTTCTTTCCCATCCCAGTAGCCTAGGCCCTTACCCCAAAATTCAAAACAGCCTTGTTCTATCAAATTATACCCATCTCAAATATTTTATTCTCATTTTTAGTTACTAAAACAAAAACTGACTGTAACAAATGCACAAATACCACATGCTGTTCGTTATTCGTTGTTTTAACAATTGACTCCCTGGAAACCAAATGTTAATTCTCTCACTACTAGGTTTTGGTGTAATATTTGTGGAATAAACTTGTAAAACTTTTATTTAATCAGGTTTTAACAATAATTTCATTACACGCCGTAACAAAAATGCTCATTTTTATAACTAGTATGTCCTCATATATTGACATTTTCCTTGCAAATGATATTTATTGTGATTGATAGATTTAAAAGATGGATTCCAGAAAAAGTAGTTGGACCCTTTTTGAAAGTTTGTTCCACCACTGTTTGTTTGTAATTGAAGGATCTAGGAACTTGGAGGTCAGTAGAGGCTTTCTCTTACAGATCTGAGTTGTTCGCGAAAACGATCACCATGTATGTGAGCTGTTTCTCTAATACACCTGCTACCTGGGTGCAGTAAATGACGCATTTTGCGGTGCAGGTGTAATTTCCT